AAGGCCCCACTTGTACAGCAGGTTGTTTCCAGCTACAGTAAGGCCCCACTTGTACAGTAGGTTAGGTTCCGGCTACAGTAAGGCCCCACTTGTACAGCGGGTTAGGTTCCAGGCTACAGTAAGGCCCCACTTGTACAGCAGGTTAGGTTCCAGGCTACAGTAAGGCCCCACTTGTACAGCAGGTTAGGTTCCAGGCTACAGTAAGGCCCCACTTGTACAGCAGGTTAGGTTCCAGGCTACAGTAAGGCCCCACTTGTACAGTAGGTTAGGTTCCAGGCTACAGTAAGGCCCCACTTGTACAGCAGGTTAGGTTCCAGGCTACAGTAAGGCCCCACTTGTACAGCAGGTTAGGTTCCAGGCTACAGTAAGGCCCCACTTGTACAGCAGGTTAGGTTCCAGGCTACAGTAAGGCCCCACTTGTACAGCAGGTTGGGTTTTCCGGGCTACAGTAAGGCCCCACTTGAAACAGCAGTTAGGTTCCGGGCACATAAGGCCCCACTTGAACAGCAGGTTAGGTTCCAGGCTACAGTAAGGCCCCATTTGTACAGCAGGTTAGGTTCCAGGCTACAGTAAGGCCCCACTTGTACAGCAGGTTAGGTTCCAGGCTAAAAGTAAGGCCCACTTGTACAGCAGGTTAGTTCCAGGCTACAGTAAGGCCCCACTTGTACAGCAGTTAGTTCCAGGCTACAGTAAGGCCCCACTTGTACAGCAGGTTAGGTTCCAGGCTACAGTAAGGCCCCACTTGTACAGTAGGTTAGGTTCCAGGCTACAGTAAGGCCCCACTTGTACAGCAGGTTTAGGTTCCAGCTACAGTAAGGCCCCACTTGTACAGCAGGTTAGGTTCCGGGCTACAGTAAGGCCCCACTTGTACAGCGGGTAGGTTCCAGGCTACAGAAGGCCCCACTTGTACAGCAGTTAGGTTCCGGGCTACAGTAAGGCCCCCACTTGTACAGCGGGTTAGTTCCAGGCTACAGAAAGGGCCCCCACTTGTACAGCGGGTTAGGTTCCAGGCTACAAAAGGCCCCACTTGTACAGCAGGTTAGGTTCCAGGCTACAGTAAGGCCCCATTTTGTACAGCAGGTTAGGTTCCGGGCTACAGTAAGGCCCCACTTGTCCAGCAGGTTTAGGTTCCAGGCTACAGTAAGGCCCCACTTGTACGCAGTTAGTTCCAGGCACAGTAAGGCCCCACTTGTACAGCGGGTTAGGTTCCAGGCTACAGTAAGGCCCCACTTGTACAGCAGGTTAGGTTCCAGGCTACAGTAAGGCCCCACTTGTACAGCAGGTTAGGTTCCAGGCTACAGTAAGGCCCCACTTGTACAGCAGGTTAGGTTCCAGGCTACAGTAAGGCCCCACTTGACAGTAGGTTAGGTTCCAGGCTACAGTAAGGCCCCCTGTACAGCAGGTTAGGTTCCAGGCTACAGTAAGGCCCCACTTGTACAGCAGGTTAGGTTCCAGGCTACAGTAAGGCCCCACTTGTACAGCAGGTTAGGTTCCGGGCTACAGTAAGGCCCCACTTGTACAGCATTTTAGGTTCCAGGCTACAGTAAGGCCCCCTTGTACAGCAGGTTGGGTTTTCGGGCTACAGTAAACCCCCACTTGGTACAGCAGGTAGGTTCCGGGCTACAGTAAGGCCCCACTTGTACAGTAGGTTAGGTTCCAGGCTACAGTAAGGCCCCACTTGTACAGCAGGTTAGGTTCCAGGCTACAGTAAAGCCCCACTTGTACACTAGGTTAGGTTCCAGGCTACAGTAAGGCCCCACTTGTACACTAGGTTAGGTTCCAGGCTACAGTAAGGCCCCACTTGTACAGCAGGTTAGGTTCCAGGCTACAGTACGGCTCCACTTGTACAGCAGGTTAGGTTCCAGGCTACAGAAAGGGCCCCACTTGTACAGTGGGTTAGGTTCCAGGCAACAGTAAGGCCCCACTTGTCACAGCAGTTAGGTTCCAGGCTACAGTAAGGCCCCACTTGTACAGCAGGTTAGGTTTCCAGGCTACAGAAGGCCCCACTTGTACACAGGTTAGGTTCCAGGCTACAGTAAGGCCCCACTTGTACAGCAGGTTAGGTTCCAGGCTACAGTAAGGCCCCACTTGTACAGCAGGTTAGGTTCCAGGCTACAGTAAGGCCCCACTTGTACAGCAGGTTAGGTTCCAGGCTACAGTAAGGCCCCACTTGTACAGCAGGTTAGGTTCCAGGCTACAGTAAGGCCCCCTTGTACAGCAGGTTAGGTTCCAGGCTACATAAGGGCCCCACTTGTACAGCGGGTTAGGTTCCAGGCTACAGTAAGGCCCCACTTGTACAGCGGGTTTAGGTTCCAGGCTACAGAAAGGGCCCCCCACTTGTACAGCAGGTTAGTTCCAGGCTACAGTAAGCCCCACTTGTACAGCGGGTTTAGGTTCCAGGCACAGTAAGCCCCATTTGTACAGCAGGTTAGGTTCCAGGCTACAGTAAGGCCCCACTTGTACACAGGTTAGGTTCCAGGCTACAGTAAGGCCCCACTTTACAGTGGGTTAGGTCCAGCTACAGTAAGGCCCCACTTGTACAGTAGGTTAGGTCCGGGCTACAGAAGGCCCCACTTGTAACAGCAGTTAGGTTCCAGCTACATTAAGGCCCCACATGACAGCCAGGTTAGGTCCAGGCTACTGTAAAGGCCCACTTGTACAGCAGGTTAGGTTCCCAGCTACAGTAAGGCCCCACTTGTACAGCAGGTTAGGTTTCTAGGCTACAGTAAAGCCCCACTTGTACAGCGGGTTAGGTTCCAGGCAACAGATAACCCCCACTTGACAGCAGGTTAGGTTCCAGGCTACAGAAAGCCCCCACTTCACAGTAGGTTTGGGTTCCAGGCTACAGAAGGCCCCACTGTACAGCATTTAGGTTCCAGGCTACAGTAAAAGGCCCCACTTGTACAGCATTGGGTTTTCCAGGCTACAGTAAGGCCCCACTTGTACAGCAGGTTACGTTCCAGGCAAACAGTAAAGCCCACTTGTACAGCAGGTTAGTTCCAGGCTACAGTAAGGGCCCCCACTTGTACGCAGGTTAGGTTCCAGGCTACAGTAAAGCCCCACTTGTACAGCGGGTTTTAGGTTCCAGGCCACAGTAAAGCCCCACTTGTACAGCAGGTTAGGTTCCAGGCACAGTAAGGCCCCACTTGAAACAGCGGGTTGGGTTTTCCAGGCTACGTAAGGCCCCATTGTACGCAGTTAGGTCCAGGCTACAGTAAAGCCCCACTTGTACAGCAGTTAGGTCCAGGCTACAAAAGGGCCCCACTTGTACAGCAGGTTAGGTTCCAGGCTACAGTAAAGCCCCACTTGTACAGCAGGTTAGGTTCCAGGCTACAGTAAGGCCCCACTTGTACAGTAGGTTAGGTTCCAGGCTACAGTAAGGCCCCACTTGTACAGTAGGTTAGGTTCCAGGCTACAGTAAGGCCCCACTTGTACAGCAGGTTAGGTTCCAGGCTACAGTAAGGCCCCACTTGTACAGCAGGTTAGGTTTCCAGGCTACAGTAAGGCCCCACTTTACTAGGTTGGGTTTTCCAGGCTACAGTAAGGCCCCACTTTACAGCAGGTTGGGTTCCAGGCTACAGTAAGGCCCCACTTGTACATAGGTTAGGTTCCAGGCTACAGTAAGGCCCCACTTGTACAGCAGGTTAGGTTCCAGGCTACAGTAAGGCCCCACTTGTACAGTAGGTTAGGTTCCAGGCTACAGTAAGGCCCATTTTGTACAGCAGGTTAAGTTCCCAGGCTACAGTAAAGCCCCACTTTACAGCGGGTTTAGGTTCCGGGCTACAGTAAAGGTCCCATTTTGTACAGCAGGTTTGGGTTTCCAGGCTACAGTAAGGCCCCACTTGTCAGCAGTTTAGGTTTCCAGGCTTCAGTAAGGCCCCACCTTGTACAGCAGGTTAGGTTCCGGGCTACAGTAAGGGACCCACTTGTACAGCAGGTTAGGTTCCAGGCTACAGTAAGGCCCCATTTGTACAGCAGGTTAGGTTCCAGGCTACAGTAAGGCCCCACTTGTACAGCAGGTTAGGTTCCAGGCTACAGTAAGGCCCCACTTGTACAGCAAGTTAGGTTCCAGGCTACAGTAAGGCCCCACTTGTACAGCAGGTTAGGTTCCAGGCTACAGTAAGGCCCCACTTGTACAGCAGGTTAGGTTCCAGGCTACAGTAAGGCCCCACTTGTACAGCAGGTTAGGTTCCAATGTACAGTAAGGCCCCACTTGTACAGCAGGTTAGGTTCCAGGCTACAGTAAGGCCCCACTTGTACAGCAGGTTAGGTTTCCAGGCTACAGTAAGGCCCCACTTTTTACAGCAGGTTAGGTTCCGGGCCTACAGTAAGCCCCACTTGTACAGCAGGTTGGGTTTTCCAGCTACAGTAAGGCCCCACTTGTACAGCAGGTTAGGTTCCGGGCTACATTAAGGCCCCACTGTACAGCAGGTTAGGTTCCAGGCTACAGTAAGGCCCCACTTGTACAGTAGGTTAGGTTCCAGGCTACAGTAAGGCCCCACTTGTACAGCAGGTTAGGTTCCAGGCTACAGTAAAGCCCCACTTGTACAGCAAGTTAGGTTCCAGGCTACAGTAAGGCCCCACTTGTACAGCAGTTAGGTTCCAGGTTTACAGAAAAGGCCCCACTTGAAACGCAGGTTAGGTTCCGGGCTACAGTAAGGCCCCACTTGTACAGCAGGTTAGGTTCCAGGCTCCAGTAAGGCCCTACTTATACAGCAGGTTAGGTTCCAGGCTACAGTAAAGCCCCACTTGTACAGCAGGTTAGGTTCCAGGCTACAGTAAGGCCCCACTTGTACAGCAGGTTGGGTTTCCCGGGGCTACAGAAAGGGCCCCCCACTTGTACAGCAGGTTAGGTTCCAGGCTACAGTAAGGCCCCACTTGTACAGCAGGTTAGGTTCCGGGCTACAGTAAGGCCCCACTTGTACAGCAGGTTAGGTTCCAGGCTGCAGTAAGGCCCTACTTATACAGCAGGTTAGGTTCCAGGCTACAGTAAGGCCCTACTTATACAGCAGGTTAGGTTCCGGGCTATACAGTATTTAATAAAGTTATGATACAAATACAATTTGATACAGTTAGAATTGTGCGTTCAAATGAAAGCCACTTACTGTATTATACAAATCATTTCTGCAAAGTAAAGCTAAAACCAGTTCAATTACCTTCAAGAGTGTTATTCCACTTATATTAGCACCCAGTCTATGAAAGTAGTTACATTTGATTCATGTTGTGTTGTAGGTTATTACCATGCTTGAGCTGCGTCGCTTTCTGGAGGAGCACCAGGGTGAGTCTCGTACTGAAGATGAACTGCGGCTCCTCCTTGATCGCCACGAACCAGACCCGACTCTCAGGTAAACAACCACAATTTTAAAATATAAATTATCCTATAGTATTATTATATTTATGGAATGCAAGATTTATACACTGAGAGATGTGTGTTTCATTGTATATACACTGAGAGGTGCACACTTAGGACAGTTTTTTTTCACTAACTCATCAGCCATCTCCACCTAGGCACTACCATGTCTAATCTGATCTCTTACAGATCACAGGAGCTGATGTCGTTTGAGGGATTTGCAAGATTTATGATGGATGAAGATAACTATGCTTTCCTTGATGAGCGCATATTACCCGACGATGATGATATGACGATGCCTTTATCAAATTATTACATAGCTTCCTCGCACAACACTTACCTGACTGGTCATCAGCTTAAAGGAGAATCTTCTGTTGAGTTATATAGCCAGGTAAGAAGAATCTTAATGCCATAGACACTTAGGTCATAACTCTATGTTCTGCTGACTCTCTTCAAGAGGGCGCTGGACAGGCACCTAGTCAGTTCCTGACTAGCCGGGCTGAAGTTTGTACGTCAGTTTACATGTGGCCAATAGTAACAGCCTGGTTGATCAGGCTCGGGTTCACCACAAGGCCTGTACAGTATATGTGGATAATTTGTTTTGTGCTAGCACACACTAACCAAAAAATTTGCAGATTTCTTTGATAATTCACAAGCTTTTGTATAGTGCATTTGTTTTTTGGCTTGATGCATGACTTCTGTATTTAAAGCTAGCCATAGAATTTTATTCCACATTTGCTCAATGAATTTCTATGCCCAAATTTCTGCTCTTTCTGGAAATTCTTATGAATGTCAATATTTATCAGATTAGAGGAATATTTAAAATAGATATGTGGTCTCTCAAGGGAGGTACCTGATGATAAGATAAGATAAGATAAGATTTCGTTCGGATTTTTAACCCCGGAGGGTTAGCCACCCAGGATAACCCAAGAAAGTCAGTGCGTCATCGAGGACTGTCTAACTTATTTCCATTGGGGTCCTTAATCTTGTCCCCCAGGATGCGACCCACACCAGTCGACTAACACCCAGGTACCTATTTGCTGCTAGGTGAACAGGACAACAGGTGTAAAGAAACTTGTCGAAATGTTTCCACCCGCCGGGAATCGAACCCGGGCCCTCCGTGTGTGAAGCGGGAGCTTTAGCCACCAGGCCACCGGGCCTGGTGAGGGTTCTTGATCCAAGGAATTTGACCTGTCTTCTTTTTCCTTGGATCAAACCACATTGCATACCATTCCTTAGGAAATCACAGAACGGACAGAGTTTGAACCACAGCAAGTAAATCTGTGATTTATTGTGTTGTTATGAGTTGCTGGGTCAGCACATGGAGAAGACTCGAGCCAGGACCTGTCTTGGCAATCCTACCTGTGTTGTTGTGAGTTGCTGGGTCAGCACATGGAGAAGACTCGAGCCAGGACCTGTCTTGGCAATCCTACCTGTGTTGTTGTGAGTTGCTGGGTCAGCACATGGAGAAAACTCGGGCCAGGATCCGTCCTGGTGACCCTACCTGTGTTATGATTTTGGGAGTCATTTCCCAGGTATTGTATTTCCTCTGTGGGTATACCGCTTCCCCTTACACACAATAATAATTAGAGATAAGACCTCTGAAACTCAAAATTCCCCAGTTTTGAAAAAGATGCACATAGAACTTCTTATTCATGAGGAACTCTAGGAACCTAATGCTCATAAATTTGGAAACTTAACTGTACATATTATTATACACAAACCCTAGGGGTCATAAACTGCCTGGGAAGCCTCCTGCTTCCCAGGCAGTTTATGACCCCTAGGGTTTATGTACTTCTCCATTATAATAACATTCAGGTTTGATCCATTGGGAGGATAGATCCATTTTCTTGGATCAGGAACTCTTCACCTGTCCCTTGAAGGGTTGAGCATATACAAATTCACTACCAGGTCTCTTGTTTAGATAATACAATACTACAATCAGGGCAGTGCCAAGGAGGCCTCTAGCTCCCCAAAAAATTTCATCAGCCTCCCAAATAATAATAACGTTGCATAAAATAAGTTCCCTAGCCCCTTTCATGTACATTAGCATCTGTGATCTCCTATTATGTAACACTGGAGCCAACACCTGACTGCAACACTTGCTAAATTCTGCACTAACTTGAAATACACTGCTTTGCTTGTACTTTTTTTTTTTTAACATAGCTGCCATCGCCCACTTAGGTAATGTTATCCATAAAAGTTGAAACTTAGTTTTACTTTTTACATTTAGAGGTTCATACAGGACGGGTTACTAGCCCCTTGCTTCTGGCATTTTAGTCGCCTCTAATGACATACATGACTTATGGAGGAAAGATTCTTCTCCACTTCCCCATGGAGTTTATATACTTTATTTTTGCTGTAGGTGCTGTTGACTGGATGCCGATGTGTGGAGCTTGACTGCTGGGACGGTGATGATGGTACTCCCATGATATACCACGGACACACTTTCACAACAAAAATACCTTTCAGGTAAAATATTTTTACTGTTATATTAATGGGGAATTGCTGAACCCATAAGCAGAGCCAGATTAAGGCATGTGCTTTGGGGAAAAAAATTGGTTTCCTCTCAAAACAAATAAATTTTTCATCTCTTAATAAAGATTTCCATGGAGGGAATACCTTAGTGAGTCTCAACTATTTTTTTTTTAACTTTATTTGCAATAATAACGAATTCTTTATTTTTTCAGTTGAAGATTACTGTACTATATATCATTATTGATGTGCAGTAGGTTCCAGTATTTGTGCTTGTTTGTCTCAGCACGTCTTTCTGTTTGTCTTAATCTCTTAATGTCCTCGTATATATAAGCAGTTAAGGGGCTAGTAACCCCTTCTCATGTGTGCATTACTAAATTTTAAAAAAGAAAATTTGGTTTTTATTTTTAGGTCAGCCTACCTTGGTGGGACATGGCTAGTTTGTTGAAAAAATTATTATTATTCTTTTGTCTCTTTCTCCTTGTTCTTTCTTTATCTCTCTCCCTCGCCTATTAGAGTTTAGAGATTATGCTGATAGAAACTGTTTTTCAACCACAATATTGGACCTAAAATTTGTGTGTCATTTTCAGAAGTGTTGTAGAGACCATCAATAACAGTGCCTTTGTCACATCGCCATACCCAATCATCCTCTCCATCGAGAACCACTGCTCACTTATGCAGCAAACAAGGATGGCGCAAATCTTCATGCAGGTGTTTGGGGATAAATTGGTAACAAAATTTTTGTTTGAGTCCGATTTTTCTGAAGAGGTTCACCTGCCAAGCCCCTCACAACTTAAGTACCGGATCTTGATCAAGGTGAGAGCATGATTTGTTAGTTTATTGTGTTTACAACTTATTGACTAAATGAGGGTCATGAATACTGCATGTCACCTTTACACCACATCTGAACTGTCATATGTGCATGCCTCTGGCAAGACTGATAGTGTAAATGATGGTGAAAGTGTTTTTTTTGGGGGGATCACTTTGCCTCGGTGGGAGATAGCCAGCATATAAAAAAAATATTTTTATACATGACTTTCTGTTTAAAAATCATAAAAAGTCTCATAATAATTTTGCAGAATAAGAAATTGGTGGCTGATGTTGCTCCAGGATTGAGTGTGAAGGGTCACACAAGCAGACCCAGCGGTCGCACTAACTCTCTGGTCAGCAATGCCTCTACTGGTTCACTCAATGATCCGGAGACTGATGAAGATGACGATGATGATGACTATGATGACGAAGGTGAGTTTTTTTTTTTCAAATATTAGACAAATACAGTAGGAACCCCATATCCGTGGGGATACATCCCAGGGACCTGCCGTGGATACTGAAACCACAGATAGTAGCAAGCCCTGTATGTAAGTCCTATACATAACTATTATAAAGTTTAATTGATAAATAATGAACAATAAGTGGAGACATCACTTTTTCTCTGATGGGAAATACTTTGTGGCTTCTCTTAGGCTTTGAAGAACTTTCACCAGCATTTTAAGCAATTATTAAGCAAAATTAAGGGTTTCTTCAGGCCATGGTAAACCATGGATAACCGAAACAATGGATATCAGACCCACGGATACGGAGGTCCTACTGTATTTCTTCCACTTGTTACATAATGATGCCTTGCAGGAGGCAAAGTTTGTATACTTATCTTTTAACCCCACACCTCTTGCCAACACCTGAGCATTCACTTCTCTTACAACTCCATCTATAAATATATTGAACAACCAGACTCAAGAAATCGTAATGACACGATTGCAAATAAACCATACCCCCGGCCGGGATTGAACCCGCGGTCATAGAGTCTCAAAACTCCAGCCCGTCGCGTTAGCCACTAGACCAGCTAGCCACAATAAGATTCATCCAACTAGTGCCTGTGCTAACTTTCCTATGGTGTAGAAATATACCTAGTTGGATGAATCTTATTGTGGCTAGCTGGTCTAGTGGCTAACGCGACGGGCTGGAGTTTTGAGACTCTATGACCGCGGGTTCAATCCCGGCCGGGGGTATGGTTTATTGAACAACCATTATGATTGTAAGTAGATATAAACATGTAAATACCTGTGGTTCATTGCCACTGTAACTTAGTTATCAGAGCTCTGGGGTACAGTCCCTGGATCCATTATGTGCCTCTGTGATATTGAAGTACAGTTCCTGGACCCATTATGTGCCTCTGTAATACTGAGGTACAGTTCCTGGACCCATTATGTGCCTCTGTAATACTGAGGTACAGTTCCTGGACCCATTATCGTATGACTACCACCCACATCATGGGTATGTAGTGCACAGTACAGCTATTAAACTAGCATGAAATCAGGATTAATATTAATAATTAGCAAAATAAAATCAGTGAAGTATGCTGTTTACGTATATCTAACATAATAATACACAGAGTTTACACTTATGCTTCAATAAACATTGAAAATAAGAGTTAAAATTTCTAATTTACTTAGTGGATTTTGCACATGATTTCAGAGGTTTGTTATATCTATAGTTAACTGTACATATTAGCTAAAAGTTTTATTAAGAGTTTTAACTTAACTCTTTAAGACTGGCATTAATTAAATGAAACTCTTATCAAATTATGAAAGCAACATAACCTTTGAATTAATGGAGCTTAACCCTTTCAGTGGCTGTCACACACAACTACATCACTGAGGCCAGGGTTCCCCCTCACATAATTCTATACCTTGAGCTCAGCTCGCTCAGATAAGCTGTGAGTGGTAAATTTTGGCCTAGATGTGAGGGAATGGATCTGTGCAGTAAGGGAGCACAGTGTGAAAAAAAATCTTGCCCCACTTGGTGCATGCTGGGAAAAGCAAAATTTTGATTGTGTATTTGGTTTAAACTAGCAACTTTGAGGTGTTTTCTAGTATGTTCTTTATGGTTTTGTTGGCTGTTTCTTCATATCATTTGATATAATGGAAAACATACTATTTAAATAGATATGATTTTGGTGTTTCAGGACTGGAAGTAGCTAGAAATTGAGCTCAAAGTATCAGAAATATTTAATTTTTGCCAATTTTTCTGAGGACGGGTAAGGCCCCCCTGCATCCCCTAGTCTGTCTTATGGGTTTTTAATAGGACTGATTCAATTACTGGGACACTGTAAATCATGGCCAATCATTCCTGGTTGTATTTTATTATCTGGGAAATAGAATAAATCTTCTATTTTTGTGTGACTATGAATTCAAAATGGAAGGCAAGTGTAATATAGGAGAGGTCTGGGGATGTAATTAATAAACAGAGGAAATGTTTTGGTGCCAGGACTGTCAACAGTGTTAATTTTGTGTAAAACTGGACAAATTATCAACTTCTGTGCACTTTATAGGATAGTTGTAATAGTTTAATGGGTGGTTTTTTGCACTCAGTCAATATGACAGAAGGCTTACTAACAAAATAGCTGAGAATCTGGTCAGATGGAGAAATGAATTGACTTAAAATAGAACTTGGAGGGCAGAATCATCAGTTTTTTTATTTATTTATTTATTTATTTTATGTCTTTGCAAACAGTACATTGAGATCAATGCATAAATTGTGTCCAGACCACTAAGTTTTCCATTAAATTTTGTACTTTTGGTGTCATTACCTTCAAAAAAATTCTCTATCATTTCAGATTTTTTTTTTTAAAGAGACACTGGGAGCAATATTAATTTTGAGGATCTGGACAGTGAAAGGGTTAATTTAATAGACCTTAATTTCATTGACCTTGATTTAATGGGCCTTGGTTTAACAGACCTTGATTTAATGGTCCTTGGTTTAACAGACCTTGATATGATAATCCTTGAGTTAACAGACTTCAAAATAATGAGACAAAATCCATTGAATTTTGAAACGCAGGACTAATTTGTTGGTTACAGAATTGTCCGTTATTGTTATGATTGTGGCAAAACAACTCCATCTCTCTCCACCACAATAGCCATTACTGACCATCACTGCCATTACTGCCAGGCTCTGGTGGCCTGGTGGTTAACGCTCTCGCTTCACACGGTGAGGGCCTGGGTTCGATTCCCAGCCAGAGTAGAAACATTGGACGTGTTTCTTTCCACCTGTTGTCTATGTTCCCCATCAGTAAAATGGGTACCTGGGTGTTAGTCGACTGGTGTGGGTCGCATCCTGGGACACTGACCTAAGGAGGCCTGGTCACAGACCGGGCCACGGGGGTGTTGACCCCCGGAACTCTCTCCAGATCTCTCCAGATAAGAGTAGAGTATGTGTAGACCAAGTGTTTACAGCGAAGCATACAAGTGAACAATATTTAGATAAAGGTTGGGAAGTTTTCATTGCTTTTTGTGGATTTAGAAAAGGCATATGATAGAGTGGATAGGGGAGCAATGTGGCAGATGTTGCAAGTATATGGAATAGTTAGTAAGTTACTAAATGCTGTAGAGATTTTATGAGGAAAGGCTCAGGCTAGGGTGTATAGAAGGAAGGGAGATTACTTTCCAGTCCAGTAAAAGTAGGCATACAAGACGTTTCCAGGCAGTTGTAACGTAATGTTAGTAAACAACTGCTAAATGTGTAACCCCAAAGCCTACCCTTGGCCCTGACCTTAAGCATAAGGCGCAGGCTGATTTTCCAAGACTTTTTGTGGAGAAAAAAGCACGTTATGTGGTGGAAAATACAGTAAATAGCAGAAGTTGATGAATAGTGAATCAGAGATGTAGAATCAGTCACCCTGTTATTTAACATATCATACACTTTGTAGTTTTGATTCATCAAGGAATGCAGGTGACCAAACTGGCATCCTTGTGGCTAGATTTTTTTTTTTTTTATATATATATTTTGTGGCTTGACAAACTAATGAACATGGTATGCAGTACTGACAAGCAGTTAGAAAAAGACACAATGAAAACACTACGACCTCCCCTTTTTTTTTTTCTTTGTAAATGTTTCAGTCCCGGGGCCTTGGTCACTAAGGTGACTAAGGTCCCAGGACTGAAATGCTTCCAATAACATGTCCTAGTGTTTGTATTTTGTGTCTTTCTTGCAACTGCTCAGTCAGTACAGTTATAGACCTGCAGTTGCAATGACGGTAGTTCGGTCACTGGTACTCCTTACATTATAATTGGCATTTATGTTCATATCTTAATTTATTTTTATAAATTACAGAACACAATCCATTTGATATTGCACATCACGACAGCTTGTTTGAAGACGAGAAACATTGTCTCGTCATCAAGAGTGTGTCTATGGGAACACGTACAGAATCATTATCCAGTGCTGAAGGCAGCCGACTACGACCAAAATCCCAAAGTGATGAGTATATAGATGATGAAATAGTTCCACCAAAACTAAAGAAACAGAGCAGCCAAATTGCCAAGGAACTTTCAGATCTTGTCAATTATTGCCAAGCAGTCAAGTTCCACGGCTTCAACCTTACTAGTCCCAGAGAATCTGTTAAAGCAAAAAAGGTTGGTGGAAGGAAAAGTACAGTTCAGCCCCCAATTATAACTAACACACCCATTTTAGTTCACACACAAATGGCTTCAGATCCTAGTCGTCTAGAACCTATATTACAGCCGCCTATTCTCAAGAGACCCATGGGTGTCCATCCCTGTTATCAGTGTTCGTCTTTAAATGAAAATACGGCAAAGCGCTTGTGCCGTCGTCAGCCTCTTGATGCTATACAACACACAGAAACTCAACTTATGCGGACTTATCCAGCAGCCATGAGGATAGACTCTTCAAATTTTAACCCTCTCTATTTTTGGGCATTTGGGATCCAAATGGCTGCACTAAACTATCAGACTGATGATACATACTTACATCTTAATTATGCTATGTTTGAGCAGAATGGGAGATGTGGTTATGTTCCTAAACCAAAAGTGATGTGGGATGACACTCATATGATGTACAGAAGATTCAATCCCTTTGACAAAGAGTTTGATGGACTCCATGTGTTAAATCTTAAGGTAGAAGTGATATCAGGTCAGTATGTGTGCCAAAATAACTTTCAGGGAAGTCCTCAAGTAGAAGTGGAGATTCTTGGCATTCCTGTTGATTGTAATAAGTTCAAAACAAAAGTTATTCAGAGGAATTCATTTAATCCAATATGGAATGACTCCTTTACAATTCGGGTTATGTTCAAGCATCTGGCTTTTTTACGATTAACTATAACAGATATTGCCACGGGACACATGACAGCTCAGAGGATCTTGCCTCTTCGTTGTTTAAGACGAGGATATCGCCACGTGCGTCTCCGTAACCAACAGAATCAACCTCTTCCAGTCTCTACCCTTTTTATTTATACTCTTATGGAAGAAGAGGAATATGAGATCCAGCAACTCTCTCCAAGTCAAGATCTTATCATAGACTCAATCAAAATTAAGGAATCAGATATAGAACATCACGATACTACACCCACAGTACCGTTGAAAAGACGGAAATTCTTCGTTAAAATTCACGGAGTAGTCCCGGATGAACCATATACAGTTATTAGTGCAACACAAGAGTGCACAACACGTGATGTTATTACCAAAGCAGTTTTAAAAATTGGGAAAGGGGCCCGAATTGAAGATTATATATTAATTGAAGAGGTGGCCAAAGGATGGCAGAAGAAAGGTGACAACCCCACTACGCAAAGGATTCTTGATATAAATGAGAGACTTCTGGAGGCTCAGGCACACTGGCAAGGAGAGGGAAAGTTTGTGCTGAAGAAAACTTCCGATGATCCTAGTACACGAGCTTGGCTCACCACCATCATGAGCACGGCATCCAAGGAAAAAAGGAAGAAAAATGTTGAGGGTGAGATTAATGAAGAAGCAAAAGGTTGGGAAGAGGAGGACAATTTCTTGGTGTGTGTTTATAATGTGTCTTCCCAGATTCCATATACTATCCTGAAGGCACCTACTTCTAGCACAGCACAAGACATCCTGGCTCAGGCGCTGGTGAAGGCCCGACGTATGGAAGACCCGGCTAGGTTTGTGCTTGTCGAGGAACTAGAATATGGACAATTGACAGAGTTAACCGGAGGTACAACACACAGACGTCGGTGTCCTCGCGTAGAACGACGCGTTCTGCCAGATACTGAAAATATATATAAAGTGCAGGCAGCTTGGAAGACTTTAGGGAAACTGGTTCTGAAGGAGCGAGGAGCACCTTTAGAAGGTACTTTCAGTAGAGCAACGGCTGCTGCCTCGGCACTTAGTTTAACACTTTCAACGGCGATAAGTCGTGTAAGCCGATCGAGGTACTATGAACGACGCCCTGTTAAAGAGACGTATAGTGATCCAAGTGCGCTGGCTGCACCTCATGAAAATTTTCCTGATCGTAGGTTCAAGAGTCTTCATGACACGTGGAGAGCTGGTGGCTCTAGTGGTGCTCACTCTGAAGGAGAAATCCTCTCTGACGATGAGCCTCCAGCCTCTGACCTTAGGGCTGCTGTTCATAAACTTAAAAAGGTTTCTTTAAAAAAGTTTCAGAAAGTGTGGAGATAAATTCTTGCTATTAGTAGCATTTAGCAAATCTGACCAAATTCAAACTGTGTGAAAACTAGTTATAGAATGGGGAAAAGAGTATACATTTTCAATAATAAAATTTAATATACTTTATTTTAAAGACTATTACTTGTGGTTATATATTAAAAACTTTATAAGGTTTTTCTCCCTATTAATGTGATCTCATGCTCTGGGACATATAACTGAGGCTACCCAGGATAGTGAAGTGCCGTGTCCTACCAAAGATTATATTGATTTCAATTTTATGAAGTCAGATACAGATTTTGATCATGTTATGATGAGTGGTGGTTTATAATTTACAAAATAACTGATCAATATCTAAAAACTAGACCAGAGTACTTTTAATTTAGAAGTACTGCTGTGAAATTTTTGAGTCACCATTTGTGTTCGGATTTTAAGCATGAAATAACTGCCTCATGACTAAAATTTTGAAAGTAAATAATTCAATGTAGACAATTTCAGTGAGATGAAGCCATCCAGTGTTTTTAAAATAACACTTTTATAGGAAAAAATCACAGCAGGGGATGATTAGTGTAGCTGGCTAAAAAATTGAGAATTGACAATACTTAATCTGTCTCCTGATACAGGGGACTCAAATTGTAAATGTAATTTTGATGTTGCATTGGGCCTCAGTGTGATTTTATTTTTTTATATTTTTTTAAGGGAGAACGGGTTAAGATGGCCTTATTATGAGGTTTGATAATGGACAAATTAGATCTTCTTGTACATAATGTAAATATGAATATAAAGTAATTATTATTATCATGTATATTGCCCCTCAAATGAAATATTTTGCATAAATACCTCTTCTATGTCAGTGATCTTATGCCATATCCATGTTGTAGTTGATGTTTTCTGTGTGTGCGTGTTGAAGACATGTAGATAACGTGCAAGGTGGTCCACTTCTTAGGAAATTTGGACATTTCCATTTATGAAATGTTTTTTTCTTTTACTTGCATATCACCTAATAATAAGTAACAAATAATATAAATACAATATCAAATTAAATAATGAACACCTTCACTCCCAGTCATCCAGTCATCTTGACTTTGATAATTCTTGCCTGTTAAAAACTATTGAGAAATACAGGAAACCTGCACACTTATGACCTAACTTGTTCCATGAAAGCAATGTAAGTCGAACCATTATTTTCCATGAGCACAATGTTATGAATGGGGGTCCCATTCCTGGGAACTAATTCCTTAAGTTAAAATTACATTTTTTTAAGGGATATCTCGCTGGCAGAGAAATATTATTAATGCGGGAAAAGAAGTGTGTAAATCACCTTGTTATAAGTTGGGGTTGCCTGTAACTCTCTACCTAACTAGACCCCTTGACTTTGCTAGAAAGGATTATCATACAATGCATACAGCCTTAACCTCAGATAAACCATTAAACTATTCTATGTTGAAATAACTTTAAATAAAATGACATGTTTCATTTACTGTGCAATCCAAGAAAAGTATCCTCATGCCACGTAAGTCTAGGCACCTATGACTCAGTGCACACAAAAGGAATATTACAGAGTGCAACATAAGTTTCCAACACAGTTCAGTATCATCATTGAAGATTTGTGGCCAGTCAGAAGAGATGTTATTGCACGGAAACTTCTATCTCCATTTTATCAATGAAAATGACAAAGTGGCTCCTACGCTGCCCAAAACCAATTTGATCCTGCCACTTAGAAGGATACACCAGCTTTGGAAGTTGAAAGCTGGAGAGTACCTGGAAAAAAAGCTAATCATAAGTATTCTCTGGTTGTCATACAGAAGACAGTATTCCAAAATTAACCAGCACTTTAAAGTTTGACAGAGACTGAAGTTAAATTGGTATTGAATGTTGGAAGTCAATTGGACGAGGCATTCACAAATTATTGCGTACTTCATTTTATGCTCTAGATGTGTTGCAGAAACATGGCAATTGTACTAAACTCAGGTTTACCTGCTACTGTTGTCTCTTATTTCCACTTGCAGGTTTACACTATTGTTTACCCAATTCCAAGTTCATTTGTTATTTTAGTACATGTCCATATTCTCACCTATGCAGCATGAACCCAAAAGGTATTCTCTTCATAAAATGCATCAGCCAGTGAAGATTAAAGCTGTTCATTTAGGGCAAATTAAAGTTATTTCACAGGAAAAATACTGCACAGTTTTCAAATGCAAATTAGCACCTACACATTAATAATAAGAATCCCAACTTTTCTTCTACGTAGGATAGACCAGAGTTGAAAATTTGAAGTAAATCGGAAGAGGCTTTCTCAAGTCATCACATGGAAACCAAAATTTGCAATGGTCTACAGTATATAAAATTGACCAGAGGGCAGCTGCACATGCCAATACTGTAATTGCAAGAACCTTTCCATAGTTACTGTACACCATTAAAAATTTGAAGCCAATTGGATCAGGTGTTCTCAAGTTAAGTAAAAACCTTGAAGGAAGAAGAGAAGACCCGGGCAACCACTTCAACATACTCCTTCACAGTTGTCTAATAATTGTGCATGGCTATTAATCTTTATTTTTGAAGAACTCGAAAAAAAAAATTACAGATTTTTAGGGTTTTGCATTTTATATGAATACATTAGTATTAAATACTGATTGTTACTTGAAACACAAATTTTGCATTTTATCAAATATTAATGTATAGTTATGGGCGATGCTTAGTCAAAGTTAAGGGGTTACCTCTTTGCTTCCTATGTCTCTCTCCCTTCCTTCCCATCCCTTTTACCTCCTCTCTCTGTCTCACTCATTATACATGTACAGTGCAATCTTTAATAATGATAAATTTTATATATTTCGTGTGTACAGAACACTTAAAAGTGAAAAACTTCGTTTTACACTAAAATTTTCACAATTTTACCTTATTAAAAGGCCTAAGGCCTGTAACTGTGTGCTTTCTTAAATGTTGGTGAGACTGTAGGTTGTACATTTTGTTCTAGATATTCCTAATAATTGACCGCTCTTTAAAAGATTAAAGGACTTTACTTATCATTTCTGCTCATCTTTATTGCTCTTGTTTCTTGCCATGTAAAATGAACTAAGATTGTTATTTACACCGATCACTGCACACTTTGTGTTTGTAAAAGTTGACAAGCTTTTTTGTTTGTGTGTAATAATAAATTGTCACATTACCATGGCTGGAATAATTCATAACTAACCCACAATTTAGAGAGGAAATTTTCGATGACATTTCAGTCAGTGGTGGAACATTATCACTGGGTCTTGATAATGATCCATGATGAATCAAAACTCTTCACAAATAACCCAGACTTAAGATAGGAAGCTTATGACAATGTTTTGGTCTCTCCTGGACCACTATCAAATAGTTTCACTGGTCTAGCACAGGGGTGGGGGCTCCTTTTATGTTGGAAGGCCGCATTAAAGTTAGCTGTAATCTAATAAGGCCACATTCAAGAAATTTTGATTAGATATACTACTAAATGTCTGTTATTTTCTAAAATGTTACTTATTATATAATAACCTCAAGAAAAAATCTGATTATGATTCATTCAGAAGACTGTACTTAATGTTCTAGAAGACTACAGGTTCCCCACCCCTGGTCTAGCAGGAACCAAAACAGCATTATAATCTCTCTCTCTTGTGTGGGTATTGTGACTTATTCTTCAAAATATCTTCTAAAGTTTCCTCACCAAATTTGGGTTAGTTATGACAAGCCATTTTTGAGCCCAGATGATGTGCTGGTGTAGTCGAACACAGCGTCTGTCTTTCTCCGTGTTGTACAGTTTACAATTTTTGGTCTGTCCTTTAATCAGTTGTTGAAATTTGTTTATTGTTCACTACAGTATAGATCATTTTCCTATTCTGTAACATTGTTAAATCTTGGCAGTGTAACTGTAAGGCGAGTTAACTTTGAATATACAGTTGTTGTTTCTTGAAATCACAGCTATAAAATACCTTAAGAATTGTGTACATTTTAAAATGTTTAATTTAAAAAATTTATGAAGTACTGGTAACTTTATAGTTAATGTCTTCAGTTAAATCTATTGTCCATCACTGACAAAAAGTTGTTATGCATTCCCAGTATGAATCTCAATTGAGTATCAATAATGTAGGGTGGAAATTTGAAGGAAAAAATGAAATATATAGTTAAGAATTGCAAATATTCACCATATCATTGCAGTATTGCAAGTCCAGTGAGAACAGGAGGATCAACAGACTTATTAATGTATGTTTACTGAGACTTGTTACTGCTATGTAAAGTACAAGGTAAGATTGCATTGGATAAGTGCAAGTTTAATATTATGTATGTACTTCACTACAATGATTTAACCACAAAAAAATGTTATTTCTTAGTATTTAAAATTCAGAAATTATTTAAGTGGTTAATACAAAAACATGTTTGTGTGTGTGAGTGCGTGAGCACGTGAGCACGTGAACATGTTTGCATGCACTCACACAAACACACAAACTTTTATATATGTATTTATATATGTGTGTGTATATGCTGTGCTGATTAAGACGAACTGGCGAGTTTGGCCTATTTGGCAGGGGTGTCCTCTGCCAAAGAATAAAAATTTGTTTTTGCCATAAATGTCTGTGAAAATCAGTCTGACCATAATGAAAACAATATACATATTTTTTAAGTAATAGTAAATAAATTAAAATTTACCTGTGATATAGGAGAATTTAGGAAAAAGATTATATTTAAGTTACGTTAAATGAAGTTTCTAAGTTAGATTTGGTCCAAAAATAAACATCTTAAATTTTTTTCATTGACAATTATATAATCAGTTATTCTCTAAGTGATTTTTCTTTTTAAGTATTTTTTTTTAAAGGAGTTCAGTCTGTTCAGCAAGTTTGGCTTATTAAGCACAAAATACACACACACAAACCAGTTTCTATTTTTTTTCATATGAGGTTTTCTACCTAAACATTTTGCTTCAGACAATTCTGAATATATATTTCTTATTTATTTATTGTTAGATATAATTTTAAATAATTAGTGAAATTTTTTCACCTTAAATGGGAAGTATTTTCATATGATATGCATTAAAAATTAGAATTTTTTTTCACATTGAAAAGGGAAGAATGTATGTGAGCAGAGCACTTTGAGATTAGTGCATTGCTTCTAGTCTTATGTTGTGCTACAACACTGACATGTGGCTATGTATGGACACTTGCAGCCCCCCTCACAGCAAGTTTACATATACTCTCCAGGTAGTTGATTTGTCACAAACTATTCCATGATTTGAAGAATAAGATTCACAAGACTGTAGCAGGAACTGCTCACCATTAACCCACACAGTGACACTAGAAACAAGACACTATTGACTCATTCCAGGATATTATCAAGGTGCAGGTCTTGATCCAGGATGGATGAAAACTTTAAGTCTTTATTTCCAATTTGTGGGTTAATTGTGAGCCGTAATGTGAACTTGAGTTACACGTCAGTTACACATCAGTTATACGTCTGTTACACACCTGTTATACATCAGTTACATGTCCATTACACACTAGTTACACATCAGTTATATGTTACACATCAATTACATGTCCTTGACACACCAGTTACATGTCAGTTATTACTCAGTTACACATCAGTTACACATCAGTTATACATCAGTTACACATCAGTTACACATCAGTTACACATCAGTTACACATCAGTTACACCGCCATTACACGTTCAGGAAGAACCTTCGAGGTAAGAAAAAAACTGTCTTCAGTTATGGTTGCTCTTTATTTAAATGCATTTTATGTAGGATAATATTAGCTCCCAGGAACTGAATCAGTATTTACAAATCAACTCATTCTTGAAGTCTGGAATAATTACCACAGATTGAAATTGAAAGTTTAGTGTGTATAACTCATTTTGTGGATATCAGTTAACCAGTTGAATTTTTAATACAAGTTAATAGGACTGTGCTTGGATTAAATTGCCATAATCTCTGGTTGATGCAGAGAGAGAAATCACCTGGGCAGAAAATTGAAACACATGTAAGAGATCTGTATATTTCAGCCTTAGTCATAAACCCTCTTCAGAAGATGAGGGATGTGGTTATTCTCTCAAAAGCAGCGAACCCAGAATTAGGAACTAATACTATTGTACATTCTCAAAATTGACAGGACTACAATATTTGGTAGGTTACATAATGATATCCACTCTGCCAGCCATTATATTCTGCTAAATTTTATGCCATCTTGTTAATAGGGAGCTTGTATATCAAATTAAAATCTGATATGCAACTTTATATCAATATATTGGCCATTTTTATAATATACAGTATATTGTAACCTGGTTCTTGTTTAAGAGTACCAATCTTGTTTGCAGACAGAGCCATCCATGTCCTATGGCAACATTCCTTATTTAAATTTTCATTAAATTATAATATTCATCTGGTAGGTTTATTATTTATGTAAGATGAGAAAATTTGTAAAATCTGTTTTGATACATGTGATGAAGAGCCTTAGTCTGTGATGTCATGCATAGCTTTATTTTAAGAGATTATCTAAATTTGTTTTATATTTATCATGTCACTGTGATATTTTTATGGTTTAATATCTGATACTACAAACAAAAATATCGATAGAGAACTTTGTAAATTATATAGTACTGTATTATCATTATTATAGTTGTATTTATAGAGAAGTGTTAAACCTGTAGGAGTTATACATTACTTCAAGAATAGGATTTAATTGGGTTTAATCCAAGGAAGGGAGAGGCAACTCCAGGTCATACATCAAGAACCCTTTACCATTATCAAGGCATCCCCCTCCCACCCCTTGAAGGGAAGTAATACTTAGAGACCAAGGCCAGAAAATTGGAAAATTCTTTGGTGTTATGTGATATAAGTTACATGCAGACATTGCAAAAGTTTACCAGTGGTTTAGAAATTTTAGCCTTTATCTAGAAAAATATTCGGTTAATGTTGCTAAGATAAAGTGAAGAGTGAAGAAAACATGCAATTTGGAGAGTAAGCATTAGTGGGACAGTATTTTGACGTGTTAAGATGCGTTTCTTGATAATGATCTTAACAGATCGTAACACTGTCCCAGTGAAAGCTCTGCAGAATGTGTTCTTCACTACTGTCACCAGTAAGACATTTAGTCCACGGTATCCCGTAACTCAATTGGTAGTGCACTCAGCTCACACATTAAGGTCCATGGTTCAGTCCCCAGTACAGGTGGAAACAGGACTTGTTTCCTTAAGACACCTGGATGTTAGTCGACTGGTGTGGGTCACATCCTGGGAACAAAATAGACCTAATTTGCCTGAAATGCTCTGCATAACAAGGGACTTTCTGTAGAGAAGTATGTCATTGTCAGCTAGGCCTGTATACCATGTACATGTACTTGTAGAAATAAAGATTATTATTGTCTTTCAAGAGGGGATGGAGTACCTTGCTTTAGCTGAAGATCTTCACTAAGCAGCTGGTGTTACTTTTTCTTTGTAAGATCAGGCCCTGATCACTCCATCCTTTCCCAGCATACTCCTCCACTATCTGTAACCATCTTAGGATTCTATTAAGTTGTGATCCTCTGATTTTTAAATGGGGTGTAAAACCTAGCTGGGGATAGGCCAGTAGATACTTAAATACTGTGCTGTACTGTTACGAAAAGAATCTGAAAATTGCTATATCTCACACACCATTAGTGCCCTCTGTAACCAATTTCTTTTTCACTTATTCACTCCTACCACCCAGAAAAAAAAAAACAGACCTGCCCTTCAAGGTGTTGGAGAAACCTTTCCCATAGACTCAACCTGATTAAACTCCCATTCCCCAGGTGCTGTATGACCCCTACAGGTTTAGTGGTTCATTGTGATTTGACCCATTTGAGTTTAGCTCTTAAATTTTTTATAATTATTACCATTGTGATTTTAATAGTTTTAATATGGCATTAATTACTTTCCTTTTGATTCTGTCACCAACTAGGTTATTACCTGTAACAAAAGTCATACAGCAACTAATTTTGTGTTATACGCATTTTGAAGTTAGGGCTTTAATTATATGTTTGGCATTTATTTGATAACTGTAATATGCACCCCAAAGATTTTTATTATGGGGAAGGGGTAAACCCATAGGAATGATGGTGTCAGGAAAATGGTAATCAGGTTTGATTCAAGAAGGTAACTCCAGTTTCTTGGATCAAGAGCCCTTTAGTGTAAGGGGAAACTCCTTGAAAAAAATATTAAAGAAAGGTTTGGGCTTGGTAATCTAAAATGTTTAAAGTAACTTTCAAGTCAGGTGGGTACCCACCTTGTTGCTGAGAGAACCTAGGATAACCCAAAAAATCAAAGTGAATTATTTCTATTGGGGTCTTGATTCAAAGAGTTGGAGGTATCTTCCTTTTTATATTATAAATGATGTACAACACTGTCATATGTACAATACTTAGGTGACTTTATTGCCAAAATATTTCACATGCTCAGCAGGCTTTCTCATGTTAACACAAAGCTGATTATAATATTGGAAACAGAAGTGGACAGGTAATTTAGAGGTGATCAGTCCCTCAGCCTTGATAGGTGGTCAGTCTCTTAGCCTGAAGCAGAGGCATAAGACTATAGACTTGCATAGGTGGAGGTAGAAGTGTAGCAGCTGGAGATGTCACAGGTGATCAGGACCCACTAGTTAAAGTAGGCCATGTAGAAGAGTTGAAGATATTCTATGTTCTAGGATGTGATGTTTCTGTGTTAGACAAGTACCATTATATCTTAGTATAAGAGATCTTTTCCCCAGTGCTATTGTCAGCAGTGGGCCCCCACAAACTTGTGACATCTCCAGGCTGAAACTTATACTGGAACTGAAAGTAAGGTATTTCAGCCTGGAGATGTCACTAGTGGGAGCAGTCATCCTAAATCATTGTTGGCAATAGCACTGAAAAAAAAAACTTTTACTAAGATGTATTAGTACAGCAACATCACATCCTAGAACAGAAAATGTCCTCTACAACTCTGCTACATGACCTACTTCAACTAGTGTCTGCTACATGCTGCCTCCACCTTGCAAGGCTATAGTCTTATGCCTCTGCTTTAGGTTAAAAGACTGACCATCTATCAAGGCTGAGGGATTGATCACCTCAATTCTCTCTCCACCTCTACTGTCCCAGTATTGTAATTGCCTCTGTATTCGACTGATCAAGCTCGTTGTGCAGGTGAAGCATTTCATCAATAAGTATCTTAGTGTTACACACGTGTCCTATACCCACTTTCCCTGGATTAAAATCTGATTGCTCAGCTAAGCCCTACAGGTTTAACTGAGCAGCCCATCAACCTTAAATGGTAGGTGGGTTGCTCAGCAAATTATACTGAGAAACACTGATCACCTGGTGGTGTATTTGACAAAATACATTGCTTTTTGATAATGTATTTTTTTCCCTGTCAAATTAACTATTACATATATATATATATATATATATATATATATATATATATATATATATATATATATATATATATATATATATAGGTTGTAGGTTGGTAGACAGCAACCACCCAGGGAAGTACTACCGTCCTGCCAGATGACTGTGAAACAAAAACCTGTAATTGTTTTGCATGATGGTAGGATTGCTGGTTTCTTTTTCTGTCTCATAAACACGCTAAGATAACAGGGATATCTTGCTACTCCTACTAACACTTTGGTCACACTTCACAGACACGCACATGCATATATATATATACATACATCTAGGTTTTTCTCCTTTTTCTAAATAGCTCTTGTTCTTTTTATTTCTTCTATTGTCCATGGGGAAGTGGAAAAGAATCTTTCCTCCGTAAGCCATGCGTGTCGTATGAGGCGACTAAAATGCCGGGAGCAATGGGCTAGTAACCCCTTCTCCTGTATACAATTACTAAAAAAGAGAAGAAGAAAAACTTTATAAAACTGGGTTGCTTAAATGTGCGTGGATGTAGTGCGGATGACAAGAAACAGATGATTGCTGATGTTATGAATGAAAAGAAGTTGGATGTCCTGGCCCTAAGCGAAACAAAGCTGAAGGGGGTAGGAGAGTTTCAGTGGGGGGAAATAAATGGGATTAAATCTGGAGTATCTGAGAGAGTTAGAGCAAAGGAAGGGGTAGCAGTAATGTTAAATGATCAGTTATGGAAGGAGAAAAGAGAATATGAATGTGTAAATTCAAGAATTATGTGGATTAAAGTAAAGGTTGGATGCGAGAAGTGGGTCATAATAAGCGTGTATGCACCTGGAGAAGAGAGGAATGCAGAGGGAGAGAGAGAGATTTTGGGAGATGTTAAGTGAATGTATAGGAGCCTTTGAACCAAGTGAGAGAGTAATTGTGGTAGGGGACTTGAATGCTAAAGTAGGAGAAACTTTTAGAGAGGGTGTGGTAGGTAAGTTTGGGGTGCCAGGTGTAAATGATAATGGGAGCCCTTTGATTGAACTTTGTATAGAAAGGGGTTTAGTTATAGGTAATACATATTTTAAGAAAAAGAGGATAAATAAGTATACACGATATGATGTAGGGCGAAATGACAGTAGTTTGTTGGATTATGTATTGGTAGATAAAAGACTGTTGAGTAGACTTCAGGATGTACATGTTTATAGAGGGGCCACAGATATATCAGATCACTTTCTAGTTGTAGCTACACTGAGAGTAAAAGGTAGATGGGATACAAGGAGAATAGAAGCATCAGGGAAGAGAGGGTGAAGGTTTATAAACTAAAAGAGGAGGCAGTTAGGGTAAGATATAAACAGCTATTGGAGGATAGATGGGCTAATGAGAGCATAGGCAATGGGGTCGAAGAGGTATGGGGTAGGTTTAAAAATGTAGTGTTAGAGTGTTCAGCAGAAGTTTGTGGTTACAGGAAAGTGGGTGCAGGAGGGAAGAGGAGCGATTGGTGGAATGATGATGTAAAGAGAGTAGTAAGGGAGAAAAAGTTAGCATATGAGAAGTTTTTACAAAGTAGAAGTGATGCAAGGAGGGAAGAGTATATGGGAGAAAAAGAGAGAGGTTAAGAGAGTGGTGAAGCAATGTAAAAAGAGAGCAAATGAGAGAGTGGGTGAGATGTTATCAACAAATTTTGTTGAAAATAAGAAAAAGTTTTGGAGTGAGATTAACAAGTTAAGAAAGCCTAGAGAACAAATGGATTTGTCAGTTAAAAATAGGAGAGGAGAGTTATTAAATGGAGAGTTAGAGGTATTGGGAAGATGGAAGGAATATTTTGAGGAATTGTTAAATGTTGATGAAGATAGGGAAGCTGTGATTTCGTGTATAGGGCAAGGAGGAATAACATCTTGTAGGAGTGAGGAAGAGCCAGTTGTGAGTGTGGGGGAAGTTCGTGAGGCAGTAGGTAAAATGAAAGGGGGTAAGGCAGCCGGGATTGATGGGATAAAGATAGAAATGTTAAAAGCAGGTGGGGATATAGTTTTGGAGTGGTTGGTGCAATTGTTTAATAAATGTATGGAAGAGGGTAAGGTACCTAGGGATTGGCAGAGAGCATGCATAGTTCCTTTGTATAAAGGCAAAGGGGATAAAAGAGAGTGCAAAAATTATAGGGGGATAAGTCTGTTGAGTGTACCTGGTAAAGTGTATGGTAGAGTTATAATTGAAAGAATTAAGAGTAAGACGGAGAATAGGATAGCAGATGAACAAGGAGGCTTTAGGAAAGGTAGGGGGTGTGTGGACCAGGTGTTTACAGTGAAACATATAAGTGAACAGTATTTAGATAAGGCTAAAGAGGTCTTTGTGGCATTTATGGATTTGGAAAAGGCGTATGACAGGGTGGATAGGGGGGCAATGTGGCAGATGTTGCAAGTGTATGGTGTAGGAGGTAGGTTACTGAAAGCAGTGAAGAGTTTTTACGAGGATAGTGAGGCTCAAGTTAGAGTATGTAGGAAAGAGGGAAATTTTTTCCCAGTAAAAGTAGGCCTTAGACAAGGATGTGTGATGTCACCGTGGTTGTTTAATATATTTATAGATGGGGTTGTAAGAGAAGTAAATGCGAGGGTCTTGGCAAGAGGCGTGGAGTTAAAAGATAAAGAATCACACACAAAGTGGGAGTTGTCACAGCTGCTCTTTGCTGATGACACTGTGCTCTTGGGAGATTCTGAAGAGAAGTTGCAGAGATTGGTGGATGAATTTGGTAGGGTGATGCAAAAGAAGAAAATTAAAGGTGAATACAGGAAAGAGTAAGGTTATGAGGATAACAAAAAGATTAGGTGATGAAAGATTGAATATCAGATTGGAGGGAGAGAGTATGGAGGAGGTGAACGTATTCAGATATTTGGGAGTGGACGTGTCAGCGGTGGGTCTATGAAAGATGAGGTGAATCATAGAATTGATGAGGGAAAAAAAGAGTGAGTGGTGCACTTAGGAGTCTGTGGAGACAAAGAACTTTGTCCTTGGAGGCAAAGAGGGGAATGTATGAGAGTATAGTTTTACCAACGCTCTTATATGGGTGTGAAGCGTGGGTGATGAATGTTGCAGCGAGGAGAAGGCTGGAGGCAGGGAGATGTCATGTCTGAGGGCAATGTGTGGTGTGAATATAATGCAGAGAATTCGTAGTTTGGAAGTTAGGAGGAGGTGCGGGATTACCAAAACTGTTGTCCAGAGGGCTGAGGAAGGGTTGTTGAGGTGGTTCGGACATGTAGAGAGAATGGAGCGAAACGAATGACTTCAAGAGTGTATCAGTCTGTAGTGGAAGGAAGGCGGGGTAGGGGTCGGCCTAGGAAGGGTTGGAGGGAGGGGGTAAAGGAGGTTTTGTGTGCGAGGGGCTTGGACTTCCAGCAGGCATGCTTGAGCGTGTTTGATAGGAGTGAATGGAGACAAATGGTTTTTAATACTTGACGTGCTGTTGGAGTGTGAGCAAAGTAACATTTATGAAGGGATTCAGGGAAACCGCAGGCCGGACTTGAGTCCTGGAGATGGGAAGTACAGTGCCTGCACTCTGAAGGAGGGGTGTTAATGTTGCAGTTTAAAAACTGTAGTGTAAAGCACCCTTCTGGCAAGACAGTGATGGAGTGAATGATGGTGAAAGTTTTTCTTTTTCGGGCCACCCTGCCTTGGTGGGAATCGGCCGGTGTGATAATAAAAAAAAAAAATATATATATATATATATATATATATATATCTGAGCTTCTCCATTATAATCAAATATATTTTTTTTTAACATGGTAAATCAAAAATCTTTTAAATCAAAGTACTTTATTGTTGGATATGAAAATAGTATACAATACTGACATGTTGATAAGAAACACGTGCAACAGTTAGGCATTTTTTTTTTTCCAAAACATTTCGCCTACACAGTAGGCTTCTTCAGTCAGGTACACAGGAATTTACACAAGTAGAGATGTGAAGTTGATGTAATCAGTCCATCACTTTTGAGGTGGGCAGTCCCTCAGCCTGGAGAAGTTTTGTTCCATAGTCTGGAACAAAACTTCTCCAGGCTGAGGGACTTATACTGTCAGAAGGTGAGATGTAGTCCACTAGTAGAAGAAAAAAGGTAATCACTGAGACACCACATCCCTTCTCACTTGGAAGAGTTGTCTAGTTTTTTTCTCTGTCAGACACTAGCACAATGGTATCTTGGTACAGTATACAACTTGGACAACTCTCTCAAGTGAGAAGGGATAGATTTGAAAGGAACAGTGTGTCAATGATTACCTTCTACTAGTGGACTACATATCCCCTTCTGACAGTATATACAACTTCATGAAAATTTAGACACACGTGCAAACATTTCGCCATCCAGTGGCTTTATCAATATAGATTCTAGGACATAATTTGAAGGCAGAACATATACAAAAGATAAGGTAATCAGTCCCTCAGCCTTGGAGTTGGTGTGAAGAGCACAGGAGAGGAGGTTGGTGCTTATTTACTATTCATCAGGTAGAAAGCAATGGGTAGCAGATGAGGGCATAGTCACTGGTAGGCGGGATTCCCCGGTGAAAGTAGGTCATACCCAAAAGGGATGGGTAAGTTGTAGTAGCCATGAAGAAGATTCCATGATGTTGCAGTTTCTGACAAGTTATACAAGAATGGTATACAATATTGACAGGGTGAAAATTTAGACACGTGTGCAAAACATTGTAGATGTTTTGCCATCCAGTGGCTTTATCAATGCAGATTCTAGGACATAATTTGAAGACAGAACTATATACAAAAGATGAGGTTATCAGTCCCTCAGCCTTGGAGTTAGTGTGAAGAGCACCGTAGTCATGTAGATTCTGGAGCACAGGTAAGGGGGCTGGCTCTTGTATACTAATTGTCAGGTGGAAAGGGACAGGTAGGAGACAAGGGCATAGTCATAGTATATAAGTGCCAGCCTCCTTACCTGTGCTCCAGAATCTACATGGCTACAGTGCTCTTCACACCAACTCCAAGGCTGAGGGACTAATTACCTCATCTTTTGTATATAGTTCTGTCTTCAAATTATGTCCTAGAATCTGCATTGATAAAGCCACTGGATGGCAAAACATCTACAATAAAGATACCCAGATATTTGCACATGTCTAAATTTTCATCTTGTTGGTATAGTATACCATTCTTGTACAACTTGTCAGACACTGCAATATTATGGAATCTTGGTTCAGAGGACATCTACATGACCTCCTCCTTGGCTACAACTTACCCATCCCTTTGGGTATGACCTCCTACTACTGGGAAATCCTGCCTACCAGTGACTATACCCTCGTCTGCTACCTGCCTCTTACCACCTGACAATAAGAATATAAGCACCAGCCTCCTTGCCTGTGCTCCAGAATCTACACAACTACAGTGCTCTTCACACCAACTCCAAGGCTGAGGGACTGATTACCTCATCTTTTGTATATAGTTCTACTGTCTTCAAATTATGTCCTAGAATCTGTATTAGAGAAGCCAATGAAGGCGAAACGTCTACAATAAAGATACCCAGATGTTTGTACATGTCTAAATTTTCATCTTGTCTGTATTGCATGCCATTCTTGTGCGACATTTCAACTTCACGTTGTTCCAGACTATGGAACAAAACTCTTCTCCAAGCTGAGGGATTGACCACCTCAAAATTATATCTTCAAGGGTGATGGACTGATTACAGTCTTCACATCTCTTCTGTAAATTCCTCCATACAGCCTCCCCTCACTTACAACAGGCTCTCTGACCAGTATTCATACCTAAATAATGTATATTAGAGCTGATTTCCTCTATTCTGTTTATTACAATATACATTACACTACTGTATAAACATTTAAAAATACAGCCTCTCCTCACTTAACAATGGAGTTCCGTTCCTAAGACCAAGTCAATAAACAAATTCATCACTAAGGAGCATACTATAATGGTAGTGGGTTTGTGTCAACTATCTTTGATATTGTTTTGATGTCATATTTGCACCAATGATAACATTTCTGGTATATTTTTAAATGTTAATACAGAATAGAGAAAATCAGCTCTAGTAAACATTATTTAGGCACGCATACTGGTCAGAGAGCCCGTCGTAAGTCCAAGGCATCGGTAAACGAGTACAATGCTAAGTGAGAAGAGGCTGTATACCAGAAATGTTATGAATGGTGCAAAGGTGATATTAAAACAATTTCAAAGATGGGCGACACAAACCCACTACCATTATAGTATGCTCCTCACTTTGCGACGAATTTGTTTACCAACATGGTCTTAGGACCGGAGCTCCGTCGTTAAGTGAGGAGAGGCTGTACTCGACTGAAGAAGTCTTCTTCAGCCAAGTACAGCCTACATTTTGGAATAAAGATACCTAACTGTTGCAAATGTCTTATCAGCTTTTTTGTTAGATATTTTAACAATACCCAATAATGCATTAGATATTGGTAATAAAAATTTTCTCCCTTTTTAATTAAGACAACTTCATGCCAATTATAGACACAAGCCACTGTTTTACACAGTAAAATTTCCCACCACAGGAATGAAGCTGGAAGCCTGGAAAGTATTGCATTGTTAAGAGATTCAGTCAACTGGGTTTCTTGATGTTTATCCTGTCAAAATCAGGACTTTTTTTTATATTTTCTTTGTCCCTTTGAAGTTAGGTTCTTTGATGCTAGTGAAAGGTTCTTCAAAGGAACTGGAATTCTCACCTTCCTTGGATCAAATCTATTACCTCCCATTCTCCACTGTATGTATGCACTATGATCCCTACAGGTTTAGCACTTCCAAGATCATTTTAACTTGTTAATGCCCACTTTAAAAGGCAATATGTTTATTACTAATTAAGGATTCTTGATAATTATATTAATGGAGAAGCAGTAAACCTGTAGGGGCCATACAGCACCTGGTGAAATGGGAAGCATTCATGTTTGATCCAAGGGAAAAGCAGTTTCAGTTTCTTGAATCAAGAGCCTCTTGCTGGCATCAAGGAACTTCCCTTAAGGAATGTTCATGTTAAAAAGCTATAAGAGTTTACAACTATGCTACAGTATATATAAAAATTAAATTGTCTTTTCAGGCATTTGAATTTTGAATGAAAAGCTGTGCCTAAAACAGCCTTATTATAGCAATCATTCGCTCAAAGAAAACTTTTGCAAGTATGTGTGAATTGTATGTCAAATATTTCATCAAAACAGATTATACATATTTTGAAGAGTATTATACTAACTTAGCGCTGATTGATCACTGGCGCTTATTTTTGACTATACTGTACTGTACTACGTACTAATAAAAATGAATTGTTGCACCTACCAATTTGTACCTGGAACAATCCCCGGTGAACCTCCTAAAAAAAAAAAAAAATTATGCATAAATCTTTATACCCAAGCCACCTATTTTTTTTTTTTTTGTACCATTAATATGGGAAATTGTGCTTTGTCTTTCATTATGTGAAAATGTGCTATGTTTAATTTGTAACATTTTTCTTGCAGTAATTTTTAGTGCATTTATATGACTTGCATATACATGAGAAATACACCCACAATGAAATTAAATAAAAGAATTGTGTAAATAATCAGTCATTTTTGTCCTAATGTGAGAAACTACTGAGGTGTGTTGCTGTCTTTGATTATAATACCAAGGTGTGTGCTCTAATTCCCTGAATTAAACCTAAATGCCTTCCATCCCCCCACAAGCACTATATAATCCTTATGGGTTTAGCACTCCCCCTGAAGTGTCACAGCTCATCTGTTGTGACTTGTCTCCTATTATGTTTATGAGTAAGCACTAAACCTGCATAGGTTTAGCCGTCAATATAATAGGGAAGAGCAGGTGGCTAATAATGGCATCATGGAGATGGTTTAGCCTCGGCAACTGCAACGAACAAATTTCAAATCAAAGAGGAAGCTAACTGTGCTCTGTATTTCCAAGGTCCAATGGCATAATCAGATTTGATCCAAGGGAAGGGTAGCTCCAATTCCTTGGATCATGAGCCCCTCTGCATCAAGGAACCTTCTTGAGAAGAATGTTTCCAAGACTATAACTTCAGCAGGTTTAGCTCTTCCTCACACATATAACCTGCCAGAAACTATGTGCACACAAGCCTGTTTGATGATTGTTAATTAGTGAAATGTTAACACTGGCAAAGAGGCAACTGTGTTATGACATAACTATGAAATAAGCACAGAACAATGTAAAGCTAATTCAAAACTATATGTATTCTGGGCACTACTCACTTTGAGAAAAGTATCCATGTGTACATATTTACTGAGTATGTGCACACGCCTACATGTGCATATAAGAACATAAGAATGGATGAACATTGCAGAAGGCCTACTGACCCATACACGGCAGGTTCTTATGAAAACCATCACTACCCACAGCTACCCAAGAATTTACTCCTGTACCCATGCCACCAATCATACCCAGCCCCTCCCACTCATATATTTGTCCAATATGTGCACTTGCATATGTATTTTATGAACACTTGCGCATGAATGCATACACCTGGCATATAAAATTGTGCACGTGCGTAACAATACATGAATGTGATCTTTTAACCCGTAAATGGTCCAAACGTATATATACATTTTTTCAACATTTGAAAGTATGTATGTAAAAAAAGTGGATCTTTTTTTTTTTTTTACATTTGAAAACGTGTAAAAAACTTTGATCTATTTTTTTCTTTTTTATATTTGAAAATATATAAAAAAACGTAGATCTACTTTTGGAGCACTACGCATATGAACGTAGATCTGCTTGGACCATTTACGGGTTAAACACGTGTGTGTGTGTGAAATGTATAACTTATAATAAGTCAGGTGACAATACTTATAAGGCAATTCCCTAAGAGTTGCTACAGCATTTATTTTCCATTTGAACTATTTTTGATGCTACAGTACTTAGGAATATGCACTTGAAAATATAAAAAAAAGAGACAGTTTTAACATGACACAAGGATTTCTCTCATCTGATTCTTCCCTGTCTGAGGTGCCTTTAACCCCTTCAGGGTCCAAGGCCCAAATCTGAAGTGGTGCTCCAGTGTCCAAGAATTTTCCAAAAAAAAATTTGTTATTTTTTCTTATGATATGGTAGAGAATCTTTTTGTGAAGGTAATAAAACAAAAAGTAGAAATTTGATGGAAAATTGACGAAATTATGCTCTCACGAATTTTGATGTGTCAGCAATATTTACGAATCGGCGATTTTGCCGACTTTGACTCCCAGTTTAGGCCAATTACAATATTCCAGTCAACCAAATTCTTAGCTATTTCACTAGTATTACTTCTATTCTATCGATTGAGCACGAGAAATTGCCAAGTCAACTCTTTCAACTACGAAATAAAGTGATTGGAAATTGTTAATTTGGCCAATTTAACACAAAGTTCAAAATATTCTAATTTCAAAATAGAGTCCAGAATAAACAATGTAGGTATTCCTGGAACTAAACTAACATTTCCTCTGTTCATTAGTTACTTTTTGAGGCGTTACAAATAAATTCCTTTTTATTTTTTTATTCAAGTAATAAATTTTTATTCACACCAAAAATAGAAGATTTACTGTTATGCAATACTGTAATAATTGTATAAATATTATCGCCATATTTGTGAATGCATATTAGACCCACCAGCTGGCGTGTATTAGATGTGTGAGGTCGTTTGTTTACTCTTGAATATCAGCAAAAATTTAACATTTCCGCTACTTTGAGCTCAGTTTCAAGCCATTTCCAGTCCTAAAAACCCAAATCAAAATCATCTCTATTTCTGTAATATGTCTTCCATTCTATCAAATGAGACCAAGAAATCGCAAATACAACTATAAAAAACATACGAAAAAACACTGCAAAGCCGCTGTTTTAATCGAAAAATCATGATTTCAGTTTTTTTCTCTAATTATACAGTGTGCTGCAGGATCTGTTTTATGTGATGCACACATACCACATAGATGTATTCTCTCATATCTAGGCCCAAATGTACCACTCACAGTTTATCAGAGTGAGCTGAGCTCATAACGTAGATCTACGGTTTGGACCCTGAACGTAAAGCCGTAGATCTACGGGACGGACCCTGAAAGGGTTAATGACACTTCTTATAAAAAGTCTCATAACCTTCTATGAAAGCTGTATATACAGGATTTTTTCATGTTTGTGGAGAGCAACTGATCCAAGAAAGTGTCATCATGACCATTTTCCATTTTGAGAGAAAAAGTTTTTTTGCCCCAAAAAATCCCTGGACTATAGTTCAGCATTCTTTGCTATTTTTGGCCGGATTTTCAAAATTACCTAAATTCATACCAGGGGTACTATTTTCTATGCTGATTCAGAATGTACACTTAAAACTGTAAAATCAGATTATTTTAGCATCATACAAGGCCCTTGAAAATAACTAGAAATCGTGAAAAATAACTAAAAATTATCAAAATAAAAAAAAAATTACTAGAAATATGAGAAATAGCTAAAAATTGGGAAAATTACAAAAAAAATATCTAAACATTACCAAAAAACATCACTTCTCACTTTTTTTGATGCTACTTAAGAATACACTGGACCCCTGCCTTACGATGGCATCATGTTACGTTAATCCGCCATACGATACATTTAAACGCAAAAATTTTGCCTTGCCTCACACGATTCGTCTGAGACGTGTCCCACGTGTGGCCTCAGCTGCCCCGTGTGTTGCCAGTGTTTACAAGCCAGCCAGTGCGGTCGCATCCACGCATACATTTTGGTAAAATTTCATATTATCACAGTGTTTTTAGTGATTGTAGCTGCAAATAAGTCACCAGGGGCCCCAAAAAAGGGCTTTAGTGCCAACCCTGTGGGAAAAGGGTGAAATTACTATGGAAATGAAAAAAGAGATAATTGCTAAGTACGAAAGTGGAGTACGTTGTCTCGGAGTTTGCCAGTTGTTTATACCAACCCCAATCAACCAGTTACTATCATGGCCAACAAAAAGGAAATCAAGGAAGCTGTTTTTGCAAAAGGTGCACGTTTGCTTTCAAAACAGAGATTGCAAGTGATAAAAGGGATGTTGAGAGACTGTATTGGTGTGGATAAACGAAAAACAGATAGCAAGAGATAGCATCTCCCCCACTCAAGCGATCATAAGTGAAAAGGCTAGGAAGTTGCATGAGGATTTAATTAGAAAAATGCCTGCAACTAGTGGTGTGAATGAATTTAAGGCCAGCAAAGTTTGGTTTGGAGATTTAAAGAATTGTAGTGTCATACATAGTGTGATAAAGCATGGTGAGGCTGCCAGTTCGAACCAAAAAGCGGCTGAAAAATATGTGAGGAATTCAAGGATTACATAGACAGTGAAGAATTGCAACCTGACCAAGTGTTTAACTGCGACGAAACAGGCCTGTTTTGGGAAGAAAATGCCAAGCAGGATCTACATTACTCAGGAGGAAAAGGCACTCCCAGGACATAAGCCTATGAAAGACAGGCTTACTCTTCAAATGTGTGCTAATGCTAGTGATGATTGCAAAGTGACGCCTTTATTGGTGTTATCACTCTAAAACTCCCAGAGCGTTCAGGCAAAACAATGTCGTCAAGGCTATTTGTTTTGTGCTGTGGAGGGCAACAGTAGGCATGGGTCACTAGCGACTGGCATGGGTCACTAGCGACTTTTTCTATGACTGGGTTTTCACCATGCATTTGCCCCCACTGTGAAAAATTACCTAATGGAAAAGAAATTGGACCTTAAGTGCCTCCTGGTATTAGACAGTGCTCCTGGTCATCCTTCAGACTTGGCAGAGCGACTTTCTAGGGACATGAGCTTCATTTTAAAGGGCAAGTTTTTGCCTCTTAATACCCCCTCCTCTCCTGCAGCCCATGGACCAGCAGGTCATTTCAAACTTCAAAAAACTCGACACAAAAGCTATGTTTCAAAAGTGCTTTGAAGTGACCTCAGACACTCGATTGACTCTAAGAGAGTTTGGAAAGATCACTTTAGCATCCTCAATTTTTGTAAACCCTTTTAGGTAAGGCTTGGGAGGGGTGACTAAGAGGACCTTGAACTCTGCTTGGAAGAAACTGTGGCCACAATTGTGTAGAAGGGATTTTGAAGGGTTTGGGGCTAACCCTCAGGAGCCTATGCCAGTTGTGGAATCTATTGTGGCATTGGGAAAGTGCATGGGGTTGGAGGTCAGTGGGGAGGATGTGGAAGAGGGTTTGGGGGAGGACAATGAAGAACTAACCACTGCAGAACTGCAAGATCATCTTCCACGGCAAGAGACCAGACTGAGGAAAACTGCTTCAGGAAGGGGAGAGAGAAATAGGAAGTTACCTAACAGGGAACCCCGGTAACGATTTAATCGGCAAAAGGATAATGTTATGCGAAATAATGTT